GATTAGAGGAGGATATGTGAATGGGATGGGATTAGTGGAGGATATGGGAATGGGATGAGATTAGAGGAGGATAGGGGATATGGGTATGGGATGGGAGAAGGATATGGGAACGTGATGGGATTAGAGGAGGATATGGGAATGGGATGGGATTAGAGGAGGATATGGGATGGGATGGGATTAGAGGAGGATCTGGGTTGGGATGGGATGGGATTAGAGAAGGATATGGGAATAGGACGGGATTAGAGGAGAATATGGGGATGGAATGGGATGAGAATATGGGGATGGGATGGGATGGGATGAGAGGAGAATATTGGAATGGGATTAGAGGAGGGTAAAGGGATGCAATGGGATGGGATAAGAGTAGGATATGAGAATGGGATGGGATGGAATAGGGTGGGATGGGGATGGGATGGGATGAGAGGAGGATACGGGAATGGGATGGGATTAGAGGTGGATATGGGATGGGATGGGATTAGAGGGGGATATGGGAATGGGATGGGATTAGAGGAGGATATGGGAATGGGATGGGATTAGAGGAGGATATGGGAATGGGATGGGATTAGAGGAGGATATGGGAATGGGATGGGATTAGAGGAGGATATGGGAATGGGATGGGATTAGAGGAGGATATGGGAATGTGATGGGAAAGGAGGAGGATTTGGGAATGGGATGGGATTAGAGGAGGGTATGGGATGGGAGAGTATGGGATTGGGGTAGGATATGGGATGGGATGGGATGGGATGGGATGGGATGGGATGGGATGGGATGGGATGGGATGGGAGGAGAATATGGGAATGGGATGAGATGGGATAGGCTGCGGATATGGGAATGGGATGGCATGGGAGGAGGATATGGGATGGGATGTGATGGGATGAGAATATAGGGATGGGATGGGATGGGATGAGAAGGCTATAGGGATGGGATGGGGTTAGGAAATGGGAATGGGATGGGATAGGAGGATGATATGGGAATGGGATGGGATGGGATAGGAGGAGGATATGGGCATGGGATGGGATTAGAGGAGGATATGGGAATGGGATGGGATTAGAGGAGGATATGGGATGGGAATGGGATGAGATTATAGGAGGATATGGGAATGGGATGGAATTAGAGGAGGATATGGGAATGGGATGAGATTAGAGGAGGATCTGGGGTGGGATGGGATTAGAGGAGGATATGGGAATGTGATGGGATTAGAGGATGGGATGGGAATGGGATGAGATTATAGGAGGATATGGGAATGGGATGGAATTAGAGGAGGATATGGGAATGGGATGAGATTAGAGGAGGATCTGGGGTGGGATGGGATTAGAGGAGGATATGGGAATGGGATGGGATTAGAGAAGGATATGGGATTAGTTGGAATTAGAGGGGGATATGGGAATGGGATGGGAGAAGGATATGGGAATGTGATGGGATGGGGGAGGATATGAGATGGGATGGGATTAGAGGAGGAAATGGGATGGGATGGGATGGGATGGGATGGGAGAAGGAAATGGGAATGGGATGGGATAGGAGGAGGATATGGGAATGCGATGAATGGAGTATATGAGAATGGGATGAGAGGAGAACGGGAATGGGATTAGAGGAGGCTATGGGAGTGGGACTAGAGTAGGATACAGGTATGGGATGGGATGAGATGTGGACAGGATATGGGAATGGGATTAATCCCTGTTTTATTACTGCATATAAAACAAAGGAAACCTGAGAGAAAAAAGGGTTTGTGAATGATTTCCTATGTGTCTTTGTCTGATTTCCTAAGCCCTTGTGACAGAGAATGAGATGCCTCATACCTCACACCTTGTGCAGTTCTGGCTGGACTCCTCTCCTTTCAAGGAGCTGAGGCACTGCATAAAACAGAGCAACTGAATCGCCTCAAGCAATTTGCATAATAAAGGATCAGACAACAACCATCCTATGAGAGCATTTCCCTTGGACATGAGTCTTAGTCTACCTTACAGAAATAAACAAATAATTTCCCCTAACTTGCAAGTGCTTAGCATCCAGAAAATCAGTGTCCTGAGGCCTAGGATGGATACCAAATCAGTAGCCCTCTTTGGACTAGCATCCACTTCTCACTGGTAAAACTTTCTCTCCTTTACACTGTATATTCTTTCATAAGACACTCTCAGGAGCTGCTGAACTAATCAAATTAATCTGCCTGGAAAGGCATGTACAACAATGCCAAATTTAATGAAGCAGGAAGACACATAAAAGACTACATTTATTCCATGACTTGATAACTCTGCCAAATGTATTATGGGCTCCCCTAAAAAAGCCAAAAAATTGGTTGCTTCCAGTCTAACTGGAAATGTTTTCAGTGCATTGACTTGTTGTTAAGCTGAGAGGAAATAAGCAGGAAGAAAAATGTCATCTGCGACCCAGGGAAAAGGAAAACTTCATGTACAAGCTGTGTGTAAACAGACTGAGTGTTGGCATTGTCCAAAACTAAGACATAAAGCAGAAAACTAAGAGGATCTGAGCAAAGCAAATTAGAATGGCTAGTCAAAGATCACCTCTGATCTAGTATTTATGCCTGCCTTGAAGATTATATGTCTCAAACTTTATGTCTTATCAGTTTGACAAGTTCAGGATGTAACTGTATGCAACTCCTTTGAACATAAAGTTCACATAAACCGGAGATCTCCCATTGTCTCCTTTCTCTTCACGTCAATCATTTCAATGTACTTTCTGCTCTATGCCCTTGATAAGCTTATTTGAAGACAGTACAAGCTTTTCCCAGTTTCACATTGTGGCTTTTTGTAATGACATCTCCTGCCTCTTTAGTAGTAAAATGCAATATTATCTTCCAAAAACATCTTGTCCCTCAAAATGTCCCACACCCATTGTTTGCTGTCTCATACCTACATTGTACTGCATGCAAGCACTATGTATGCAGGGACACAGAGTGATGGGTTTGGTCTTCACATCAGTGTGGTTTGAAGTTCATACCATTAATGTCACATCCATCATTGTCCTGATATTCATGTGTCTGATGTCACACAAAGAGAAGAGGAGTAGAGCACATCCTAGAAAATGACCACAGAATCTCAAACATTGAGAAAGATGAAACTTGTTAATCAATTAGCCCCATCTGGGTGCAGATCTGCCACAGCTAGTTTGTGTCTGGCTTGGTTGTGCCTACCAACACCACGGGGCAGGGATATTCAATGAAATCTCTGCCTTCCATAAAAGGTCTGATTTTCAAGATCTCACTGTTTGAGAGGCTGTAGAGAGTCTATGAAGTGTCTCCTGTGGTCAGTGTTCAGTGGCCTGGTGACACATGGTTATTGCTCCCTTCCCTGTATGACTATCAGGGAAAGGCAATCTGTAGCATTACAGGTAAATGACACAGAGCACAGCTCCCATTCATGCAAAGAAATACAATCCCTTTGCCTTCAATTTGTGGTTAGGCACTGCAAGTGCTAATTTAAGGAAAGGTATGTGAGAAAAGCAATCTGTGCTGAGCTGGGGGGAATGCAGTTCCCACCATTACTATCACAGCCTTCTCACAAAGGCTTTCCAGTAACACCACCTATTTTTATTGCTGACTGCAATGAAGCTAATAGCTTGC